TCTCGCGCGGTCTCTCTGCCTCTCTCCAGTCTCCTGTGTCCCCCTCGCCCCTCTCCTTTGGGCTCTGATGAAAAATTGCTGACTGTAGCTTTGGTTGTTTAGCTATGAAAACAGTAGACAATTTCAGTTCTAGGAAAATAAAACCCGTTGATTACTAGATTGGGTCTTGACTGCTTCTTGGCGGGGGCGGGGGTTGGTGGTGAACTGGAGGGGTGGGATGGGGAACCGAGCGCAGTGGTCCCTTCTCGGTTGGAGATGGGTGGTGCCAGCCTCTGCTCCAGCAAAGTCGGCACGAACTGCACCCCTCAGTCCACTCCTGCCAGCCGCTGGGGACCACAGCTCACCCCACGGTCACCCGGGAGGCCTCGGAGCCGGGGCTTGCTCGAGAAGGGGGGGAGCGACGCTGCTGCCACGGGTCAGAGCTAGGGGTGCCCGCCACCGGTAAGTGGTGGGGAAGGGCCGGGAGGCTGGCAGCGTGGGGTCCTCCCACGACCCCGAGTTGCGTGGAGGGGCCGGAGCAGGTCATCTCCCGTGCCTCCCCTCCCAGAGCTGACATTTTGTGACAAGCTCATCGACTTGCCTTGGAAGGGCCCACGTTTCACCCCTTCCTGCAGAAGCCCTAGGGCAGTTTCTTAATCTGCCCTGGCCCCCTACCGCAGACTGGGGCGCGCGGGGAAAGGACCGGCCGCAGCCCAGCCTGGAAACGGAGGCCCTCTGCTCAGAATAGGAAGCTGCAATCCCCTAGAAAATGGAGCCCTCCTCTCTGCAAACTACAATTCCCAGCGGCCCCCACAGCGCGCGTGAGGGAACGTGCCGTGCGCTGAAGCTTATCCCGTCCTGCCTTCAACTCCCAACGTGCCTCTCGGTGTTCTTACGCTTCCTGATTTCCTACCCGACCAAATTTCCTGTTTCCAGCTCGCTTCGTAGCGGCGGACTACAACTCCCAGCTTGCAGAGCGAGGTTGGTTTGAGCGTCCGCTCCGCATTTGGACTACATTTCCCAGAAAGCCGAGGGCCCGGGGGGGAGGGAGGACGGCGCGCTCAGGGCGCAGGTGCGGGCGGCGCGCCTACGCGGCGGGAAGCGGAGGTGAGCGTGCGGTACCCAGGTGGTGGTGACCTCGCTGGGCTCGCCCGGGACCCGGGGCCGGGAAGGGCCTTCGTTTGCCCCGGCCGTGGCTCAGTCGGCTGCTTGGAGCGGGTGGGTGTTGAAGACTGTTGGAGCCCGCCGTGCAAGCCCCCCGAGGACAGCCCCTCCAGGGTGTGCAGGAGAGGAGGGCAGGGTCCAGGGGGCTGGCTTCTGGGGTCTCCTCCCGGAGCTGCAAACCGAGAGTGGCTGAGGCCAGGACCTCTCGCGGCGATCCGGCGGGTTTCCTCGTCTGCGGAACCGACCCTGTGGTCCTTGCACCTGTCAGCTTCCTTCCCAGGGCGGCGGCGGCGGCGGTGAGGTTCCCCGCATTCGGTCTGTCACGGAGCTGTGCTCCCAAGCGTGTGTTGGATCTGCATGCGAACATTGAGGCCGAGGTTAATTGAGGAGAGCGTTAGGCGTTGTCTTTTTCATACTGAGAAGTATATGACCGACGGTTCAGATAAACCAGTTCCGATTTGTTTTTTTCCCCCCCAATGCGCATAGTTGGAAAAGATGGAAAGGAACCGCGCCCCCAAACAGTTCTCTCGCCCCAAACAAGTCCTGGGGCTCTTTCCTTCGCATAAATATTTAAGTCTGTGCCGGAATATATATATTTTTAATTTGCCTAAACGACATAATACCATTCACATTATTGTGTACTTTGCTTTGTTAAAGCATTGAAAGTAAAACTGTGAAGTCTTAAGGATGATAAAACAAGCTCACACGTTCAGTTGCCCTGGGTCACAGAGTAAGGTGGTGAGCATGGAGGGGCACCCAGTTCTCTGACCCCGGCAGCTCTTTGTGCCATGAGAGTGCACTTGATTTTTAATCTTCTTTTTTAAAAGATTTTATTTTCAAAAAATAAATATTTTATTTATTAGAGAGAGAGAGAGTGCACAAGCAGGGGGAATGGCAGGGAGAGGGAGAAGCAAGTTTCCTGCTGAGCAGGGAGCCCGATGCTCCATCCTGGGACCCTGGGACCATGACCTGAGCCGAAGGCAGACGCTTCACCCACTGAGCCACCCAGGCGCCCCAAGATTGCACTTTATTTGTATTTTGAAGTTAGACTCAGTTCTTAGCTATAAAATAAGATTAACGATCCCTGCTCCATCCTTTCCCCCTCCCCCCTTTTAAAAAAGATTTATGTTTTTATTAGAGCGAGAATGGGCACCGAGGGAGAAAGAAAATCCCTCCCCGCTGAGTGTGGAGTCAAATGCAGGGCTCAGTCTTCTAGCCCTGAGACCACGACCTGAACCGAAATCAAGAGTCAGACGCTTAACTGACTAACTGCCACCCAGGTGCCCCCTCCATCTCTTTCCTTTAGTGCATGATGCAAGAAAGCCGTGTGGCGCCTGGCAGGTAGCAAGTGCTTGATAAGTTGAAGTGCATACTATTTTTGCCTCCGTTCTCTCATCATCAGCCCACTGACTTAGTCCATCATCCAAAATTGGGAGGCTTCCAGTACATACTTAGTTGGGAAATCCAGGACTCCGTAATCCTAGAGTCTGGCTCTGGGGCCTTTTCCTCTAGAAAAGCAGCTGTCTTAGGGAGGAGAAGTGTTTATTTCCTGAATGAGTTTAGGAATTGGAAGTGCTGTAGGGACATTTTAATCCCATTTTTTTTCCCTGTGTTTCGCCTTATAACTGCTTGCCCTTTGGCCTTGTGCCGCGGGTTTGTTTCCCTTACCTGTGTTTCCTATGCTGCTGTTTGTGCGAGTATCTAATAACTGTTACTGAATATCTACTGTGTGCCAAGCCCTGCTTGGATCTGCTGGACTCAGGGGTGAACTAGATGGCATGGTCCCTGGCCTCGGGGAACTTTTTGCACTTTGAAGTCAGATACCTGTGGGGTTTGAATGTCAGTTCTCACATAGTAGCTTTATGACCATGGGCAAGTCACTGAACCTCAGTAAGTCCTTCCTCATCTTAAAGTGGAGATAACATCTTGCAGGGATTCAATGAGATGCATTTAGCAATGGCCTGAGTATAAAAAAATATTCCTTCTTTGCCCACTTGTTTCTGTGTACTCTGTTTTTGTTTTTTCATCTTTTTTCTTTTGTAACAATAGGCTCCACACCCCATGCGGGGCTTGAACTCAGGACCCTGAGATTAAGAGTCACATGCTCTCCCGACTGAGCCGGCCGGGAGCCCCTCTATCCATCTACTTCAGAGCTGACTAGGAAGGGTTCTGGATCTTCCCTGGCCAGGGGATTTCTCCCGGCCTCCAACCATGCGTCTCTCTGCCCTGCTGGCCTTGGCTTCCAAGGTCACTCTGCCCCGAGACTACCGCTATGGGATGAGCCGCCCAGGCTCTCTTGCAGACAGGAGGAAGAACCCTCCAGGGACCAGGCGGCGCCGGGTGGCTGTGGAACCCATCTCTGACGAAGAATGGCATCTGTTCTGTGGGGACACGGTGAGAGCCTCGGGTGGGATGGAGTGGCGGGGGGGCTCCCAGGCAAGGATCCCCCCCTCCCTGACCCACGTCTTCCCGCAGGTGGAGATCCTCGAAGGCAAGGATGCTGGGAAGCAAGGCAAAGTGGTTCAAGTCATCCGGCAGCGCAACTGGGTGGTCCTGGAGGGACTGAATACAGTGAGTGGAGAGAGATGGGGTTTCTCAGGAAGCTGTCCCGTCACTCTGCACGGAGAGCAGCCCGGGGAGGGAGGAGACGAGCCGCAGGGGGCAGGGGCAGTGACGCAGCTGACGGCTGCTGTCCCCTGGGGCTGAATGCGACCACCTCTCTTTTGGACAGCACTACCGCTCTGTTGGCAGGACCGGGGAGGACCGGGGAACCATGATCCCTAGCGAAGCGCCCTTGCTCCACAACCAGGTCAAACTTGTGGACCCCGTGGACAGGCAAGCACACGGGGCCCCGGGCAGAGGGTTTCCCAGCCTGCACATCTACACGGTATAAATACCGAAGGAACGGGGGGCTGCAGGCCCTGGAAGTTGAGAGGGGCCATTCGTCTGATGGACATGAGCCCCTCTAGGTCACCCCAGGACAGACAGAACAGCGACAGGACGGTGACTTTTATGTTTTCAGCCACTGATTTTTTGGACAGAATGCAGCAGGAGGCCCTGGTTCCCATGCTGGGTTTCTCTCTTCCATCCACTAGGAAGCCCACTGAGGTGGAATGGAGATTCACGGAGGCAGGAGAGCGGGTACGTGTCTCCTCAAGATCAGGAAGAATTATCCCCAAACCTGATTTTCCCAGAGCTGATGGCATCGTCCCTGAAACATGGACCGGTGAGGCAGGCTGAGGGGCAGGAAGGTGGGCTGGGGGTGGTAGGAGCGGGAGGGAGGGGTGTTAGGAAGCCCTCTCGCCCGTCTTCTTTCCTCTGGTTCAACAGATGGTCCCAAAGACACCTCGGTGGAAGATGCTCTAGAAAGAACCTATGTGCCCCGTTTAAAGACACTGGAGGAGGAGGTGATGGAGGCCATGGGGATCCAGGAGACTCGGAGACACAAGAAGGTCTACTGGTATTGAACCTGGGGGAGCAGCTTCTCCCCTCCTTGTCTTCACCTTGAAGGCCAGGGCTACCTCTTCTCCAGACCCCAATAAAGAGCCACGAGTCTTCCCCTGCGTGCAGCTGTTGTCTTCCGGGAGACGGGCACACCTGACCCCGGCGCACTGTTTCTGGGATTGAAGGAAGGGGCACCTGCCCTCACGTACTGACAGAGCCTGGATGGCAGTTCGCCAGCCTCCCCCGGGGCAGGGCCTGCAGGTGCTGGGGGGGAGACCCGTGAGTAATGGGGTGTTCCCCGCTGGGGGGGGTGGTAGGGGCGGGGGTGTGAGGCCCAGCTGCGGTACCTGGGCAGCGTCTTAGCAGGGGAGGCTGCGCATCCGTCCTTCTCTACACTGGTAATGGCAGGGAAATGGAGATTTCACTTATTTAATAAATTAAAAATAAATTTTACATCATATCACATTAACACATGGAGGGAGAAATCAGGGTTCCAGGGATAGGGACTGGTGGTTCTCTGGGTGAGTGCGGTGCCCGGGTGGTCTCGGGGTTTGTCAGCTGTGTTCAGTCTCCAGAAGAGAGAAGGCTTCACCCAGGGGCCTCTTTGTAGCCACCAGAACCAGGTTTCTGGGAGAGAGCTCAGGACTAAAGATGGGCAGGAGTTCAGCATGGAAGCCTAGGAGAAAGGCAGGGCTACTCAAAAAGAAACAGACACTCTCAGCCACTCCCTGCCTGGTCTGTGGGCACAGCCCTGTTCCCCATGGGGGAGGCCTCAGGGTGTCTAAGGAGACCCAGTTCTCCACCAGGAATGGGGTGCCCACTGTAGGTTCTCGATGCCCGGGGTTCTGGCTTAAAATGCAGCCCAGGGATGGGAGTCCAATTCAGTAGGAATCTGCACTGACCTGGCTCCCGCCCCACAGCTGACTGGCTGGAGAATCACCGCAGGGAGGAACCCAGGCTGCCTGGCAGCTGTGGGGGCTGGGGGCCTGGAGGAGGAGCCTCAGAACTCCAGCCCCACCCACACAGGGTCCTGCAGGTAGGCCACCCTCACCCTGCTCCTGAAGGTGCAGCAGCCGGTCCAGCAGAATCAGCGTCTCCACTAGGGGGGCAAGAAGCAGGGCCAGGCTGAAGAAGGCCACCACTCGGTTCTCCTGGGCCTGGTGGGCCCGAAGGGCAGCCAGATTCAGCGGCAGCTGGGGGTCCAGCCCCACCCGCTGGAGCCCCCGCTGCACGTATCTGCGGGGTCAGCCAAAGACAGCACTCAGGTTGGTTTCAGGCACCCACACCGCCCACTCAGAACCATCCATTGCTAATTCCATTGCAACTTTGCTTCATGTGCTACCCTAGGATGCTTTTTCAACATTTTTCTGGCTGTGAGCTGTCTGTCCAATCGCAAATTAACCGCAAAATTTATTTTCAGCCAGATCTGTCCAATTATTTTGCTATATTTTCAGCATTTAAAAAACTTGATAGTGCCCAGATAGAATGACATCTCCCTTCTGAAGAAATTTTGAGAAGCTGCCCCGAGACTTCAACATCAACCCCCTGGGCACATTTAGAACTTCGCTAGGATAAGCCAACAAGTGAGGCTGAGGGGGAAATCAGGCGGTGAAGCCCCCTCTCCACCCCCCGCCTCCCCCAGCCTCACTCTTCAATCTTGAGCTCGTGGACCCTGGGGATCCCCTGCACGCCGGGCCGCCGAAGCTCGGGCCGGGCCCCCCGGATGACGGTCTCCAGCGCTGCGCGGTAGCAGTGGGTGCGGAGGCCAGGGCCCGCTTTCTGCAGCCGCTTGGCGTACTCCTCCAGGGCGTGGCAGGCTCCCTCCCGAAGCCGGTAGGGCAGCTCGCAGCCTGGCAGCCCGGCCACCCACTGACTCAGCGGGTAGCCGCCGGGGTCACTCAGCTTCATGTAGCAGCAGCCCACCGAGGCCAGCGCCACCACCTCGGGGCAGGAGAAGTGCCTCAGCAGGGCGACGCTCAGGTCCCCGCACGCGTGGAGCCCAGTCAGCAGCAAGCGGGCCCCGCTCTGGGGCAGGGTCTCCAGTGGAAGCAGCAGCTCCTGGCATAGGGCCGTGGGCTCCACCCACCTAACCACGTGGTGTGGCGAGTGGCGAGGGCCCGCGTGGACCGCCTGTGGAGGCAGGACGGAACAAAGGCAAGTGGGAAGTCTGTGTGCTGTCCCCGTGCCACCTCAGGTCACAGGACAGGACGTGCGTGTCCTCTGCCTTCCTTCCCAAGGAGGGGGAGAAGCTGGGGACCAGGACAGCTGGGCCTTGAATCAGGAGACGGGCTGAGCCCTGGGGCCCCTCATGGGGAGTGCCTTTAGGATGTGAGGAGGCTCTGGTGAAAGGGGGCCCTCGGGCAAGGGGCAGCAGGATTAGAGACGACACCATCTTAATCCCAGAAACTAAAGAGTGGGTCCAGCCTCGGTGCCCCATTCCAGCCAACTGGACCCCGCCCGCAGGGAAAACCGGCCTACCTGTGGGTGCCTCTTCTCCTCTTTCTCCAGAGCCTGCAGGAGCTCCTGGTCCAAGCGCTGGGCTCTCTCCACCAGTCTCTGATCCCCTTCAATGCTCTTCACCATCAGCCCCAGCCCCAGGGACATGAATCGGGAGAGATGGCCCTGGAGTCACGAGAGGGAGGACAGAGACAGCCCTGTTCAGTGCGCCCTCTACTGTCAGCCTCCCACCATCAGGAAGTGGCCCAGGCCCCCAGATGGCTTATCTGCCAACTTCCACCACTCCTCAGCACCTGCTTCCCGGGGCCTGTGGCCTCGTAACCTGCCTCCAGCTTTCTATCCCCACAATTCAAAAAAAGGAACCCCAAACCCCAGAATATCAGGGGTCTGACTCACCTGGCCTGAACCTATATCCACAACCTGGGTGCAGCCTGTGAGGTCACTCAGCTTCTTCACCAACTACAAGAGAAGGGACAAAGCTCTCCTGGCTACTGGCTGTTGGCTCCCAGAGCAAACACCCACAGTGAGGGTGGAGGAGCTGCAGGTGGTGGAGGAGGATGGCGAGGGGGGACCATGGGGGAGACAGGACATACGGAAACCAAGAGGGAGGGTGCTGACCCCAGGCTCAGGCTCCTCTCCTCGCCCCTCTCAGCACGAACAAGGAGAGGAGCCCCCACCGTGAAGCCCAGAGCAGATGGTGGAGGTGGAAAACGGGAAGAAGACAGTGATTCGGACACAGCCACCAACCAACCCGTCAAAAGGACGAACATACACACAAAAAGCCGCAGCATCGAGATACGATTATCGTATGCCTGGCGAGGCTGGTCCTGCAGGTGACAGAAGGTGCTCACATCCTGGTAACCCACAGCGCCTGCTCCCAGACACCACCCGAACGCCAGCCATCTCACCTCTCCCAGCCTCCGGATCTCGTGCTGCTTCTTGGGCCTGACGTGTTTCCGGAACGGAGCTGTCAGGCGGGAGCTCTGGCTGGGGTTCTCCAGGAACTCGGAGGGGGTTTGAAACCCAGGTGTCCGGGTAAAGGCCAGGGCACAGGCTGTGGACTTCAGGGCCAGCAGAGAGAGTGGCCACACCGACCTGTACCTGTGACAGGCCAGCCCGGGACCCCAGTGAATAGCTCCATTGCATCCTGACCGCACCAGTTTGCAACCCAGGAAGCCCGAGGGAGACTCTGAGCCTGAGTCCCCCAGCCCGGGGCCCCTCTTGCCCATACCTGACCACTTCCCCTTCCCCGGGCATCCCCAGCAGCTGTGTGGCCAGCTGTGGCGGGTTCAGTCCGTCCAGCGCTTCCTGCCATGAGCCAGGGAGTGTGCCCCACAGGTCGTCTGTGAAGAATTCCTGCAGGAGCAGGGGAGAAGCAGTCTGGCCACTGCCCTCCCCACTCCTCCCTGCCCATCCCAGCCACCGCTCTCTGAAGCTGGGCTCCAGCCCCCACCCTCGGGGCCCAGGCGGCATTCTGGACATGCCTCTCCTTGCAGCATTTCCCCTGCCCGCTGCTCTGCGTGTTCTCTCCACGCAACGGTGCCTTCGCCTGGGCATGCCCAAAAGCGCAGTGACTGGCCTGTCATATCAGCACGTTGCCACTTAACACCCTACCATTATGTGCACCGGACACTTTACGTGCCAGACACTGTATGTGACAGAATGCGTTTTTATTCATGCGTTTGTTAATCACCCACTCTGGAGCTGTGGCCACGCACCGAGCTCTAGTCTAGGCACAGAGGATACAACGAACCAGACAGACAAGATTCTTGTTCTCACAAAATTTACATAAAAAAGATAATTTCAGGTAACATCAAATGCCCCATAGACACTAAAACCCTGACGAAACAGTAACACGGTGGAGTCTGAGAGAGTGCTACTTCGAGGGCGCAACAGGGAAGACTTGTCTGAGGGGCTGGCTCTTGAGCTGAGACGTGAACGACAAACACACAACAGCAGATAAGAAAGGCCAGGCGGTACTTGCCGGAGGGGGGCAGCTGTGGCGATGCAGGGGTCAGAGTACAAACTGCCAGTTATAAGATAAATAGATCACAGAGATGTACAGCAGAGTGACTATAGCTAATAATACTGTATTGAAAGTTGCCAAGCATAGATCTTAAAAGTTTTCATCCAAAAAAGGGGAGAGGGGCACCTGGTGGCTCAGTCGGTTAAGTGTCTGCCTTTGGCTCAGGTCATGATCCCAGGGTCCTGGGATCAAACCCTGCATGGGGCTCCCTGCTCAGCGGGGAGCCTGCTTCTCCCTTTCACTCTCCCTCTGTGCTCCCTCCCCACCAATAAATAAATAAAGTCTTAAAAAATTTCAGGTAATAGCAAACACTTATAAAATACTTTAATATGCCAGGCGCTGTCCAAAACATTTTCCACGTATTAATGCATTTAATCTTCAAACAACCCTATGAGATAAGTACTAGCTTACCTCCCATTTTACAGATAAGGAGATTGACACCCAGCAATTCAGTAACTTGTCCAAGTCAAAAAGCTAGTAAGTAGCAAAGCTGGGATCTGAAACCAACTCCACTCTAGTTCTTGCTCCTAACCACTCTGTTCTACTGCCTTCCCGTGGAGGAAGACATTCCAGGCACACTAGTAAGTGCAAAGGCCCAGGTGCCCGCCATGTTTGTAGAACAGAAATCAGGTCAGTATAGGTTTGGAGAGGGAATGTGGGAGAACCAAAGTGATGGCCTTCACGAGGCCGCAGGGGACGGATCGTGCAGCGCTTTCTAGGTAACGGTAAGGACTTAAGATTTCATCAAAGCACCCAGGAAGCAAGGCAGTGTCTTGATCAGATTTACTTTTTTTTTTTTTTTTTTAAAGATTTTATTTGTAAGAGACAGAGAGTGAACACAAGCAGAAGGAGCGGCAGGCAGAGGCAGAAGTAGGCTCCCCACTGAGCGAGGAACCCGATGTGGGACTCAATCCCAGGACCCTGGGATCACGACCTCAGCCGCTTAACCAACTGAGCCACCAAGGCGTCCCTTACCTTTTTTTTTTTTAAGTAAACTCTACACCCAACGTGAGGCTCAAACTTACTACTCTACCACCGACCCAGCCAGGCGCCCCTCATCAGATTTACGTTTTAAAGAGATCAATCAGGCTGCTTTATGAAGAAATGGTTATGGAGAAGTAGACACACAGATCAGTTAGGAAGTAGTCCAGGAGCGAGAGGATGGTGGCTTCGCCCTGGGGGGTAGCAATGAGATGGAAACAAACGGGTGAATTTGGTATCTACTCTGCAGGTAGAGCTGAGCGAAGGGCTGGAGTGTACATCAATGAAGGCGGGAGCTGAATCAAGGATGCTTCTGGGTGTGGGGGCTGAACGAGTCAGCGGACATTGGTGCCATTCATACACCATCTTATTCCCCACCGTGAGCCTCCAGACAGGGGTTACTATTACAGCTGAGAAACCCGGGCTAGGCGGAGTTTCTTTAAACGCCTAAGGCTGACCCCGTAAGGGAGGCAGTAAATCAGTCTGACTCCAAAGCTCTAACAGCCCATTACACTGTTGAACCGGGGATTTAGCCAAAGCTTGGGTGAATTCTGGAACACCTCGCGTGTTCCTCGGAGAGCTCAACGTAGCCGCGGCACGGCTCAATCGTCCACGCATTTTACTTTGGACGTGGGCAGGTGAGAGAAACCACCCGGAGCTTAGGAATATTAAAACGTATGTCAACCGACAAGCAGAGGGGCGGGGGGATGGCCCCTTTCTTGCACAGACGCATCGAGGAGCGAGCAGAAGCCACCTCTCCGGATTCTGCGCCTGCCGCGCGCACCCAGCCCACCGCACCCCCGTGGCCTCACGATGATGTAGGCGTCCAGGATGGGGCGGTAGCGCGCCAGCACACGGGTGAGGTTCACAGCCAGCTGCTTCCTCTGCTCCAGAGAGAGGCCGCGCGCGGAGACGCCCGGCATCCCGGGCGGCAGCGGCGGCGGCGGCAACGAGAGCGCGCTGCGCCGGGAGGGAGCCCCCTGGGCTCCGCACCCCGACGCCCCTCCCCCGGCCGGCTGGGACGGAAGAAGGGACGCTCCCCCTGACGTCACAGGTCGCGACGCGGCGCGGCGTGGGCGCACACGTGGGGCGGGGCGCCACGCAGTACGTCACAGAGGCGTGCCCCGGCGCCGAGGCCCGCCCCTCCCCGCGCAGTTCCCTCCTCCCCCGGAAGTGAGGCCGGTCCCGCGTGCGGCGTTTCTCGCGGGGCGCGGCCTCCCCGCCTTCGAGTTGTACCTCC